TTGTAACCTAAATTAAACATTTTGTTAGTAGTTGTTTTTTATTTAACATAAAACGTGATTGGCTTAAAATTTACAATATTTAATTTTCCTGGTTCTAATTATGTAATCAGGCCATGGTTCTGGTAATTTTTTATAAGTTTTAATATCTTATATTACATATTATGTGAAATTAACGTCAATCTAAACTTCATATCAATATGAAGAAATTCTTCATTGATTTATATCGATTATAATTCTGTTGTCAACGACTTTTAAGAATCATTAAAAGAAAGAAACTTTGAATAATAATTTGAACTATCAAAAATATGAAAAAAAAAACTGATTAGCTTCAAAAAAGTATCGTCTACTATGAACATCAATTTTGACGTTTGAAGCAATTTTCGCTTACAATGGAAAACAATAAATATAATTTTAAAAATATCTCCGTAACTATTGATTTTATCAAACAAATGTATAGAATCATTTTTATAGAAATTTTAAAGTACTTTAATAAGATACTAGTCAATATTTGAGCAAAACCTGATGGTTTTTTTAGATGTTCTCAAAAAACTAAGAAAAAATCAGTTTTCTATCCTTCTCCCCCTCACCCCATAAAAACCCGACGCGGAATTCTTTAGGAATTTTTACCAGTTATTAGAAGGGGTTAGTAAATAATTTCTGACAAGTTTTATTTTTATTTTTGGAATGTTGGGGTAAGATTAATTTTTTTTATACGTTTATTTTTTCCCCTTAACTTTACTAGACTATTAGGTAAAGTATTGCTTCTTGGTCAATAGTTGTACAAGGAGGTGATATGACCGAGATCACGCTCAACCGCCAGGATTTCCCCCTTAACGAATTATTTAATTAAGGGTAAATAATTCTATAAATTATTTAATTATTTATAGAGGCTGAATGTGCCTTTATAACCTCGAACCTCCTCGGTCCTCGAACATTGGAATCTGAGATCATAAGTAAATGAGAAAAAATAATGTAACGGTATAAATATGAAGAAAGATTGCGGTAGGCCTTCTCTCATTAAAGGAAATATTACGTTTTCCATTTCTTCCACGCCAAGCAAAAGTACCGTTATATGAAGCTGTATAATATAATCAATAATCATCGTCCGTCCTATGCATACAATCTCCTACAGTTGAACTTATCAATCCACACCCTCTCCACAAGATCACGTCCTTCTGATCTTTACACTCCTTTACACAAATCTGCCTCATTTAAACATTCCTTTGTTATCCGTTCCACTGCATTCTCGAATTCCATACCATTAAAAATCCACCATGCACCACCCTTATTCCAATTCCTCTTCACAATTCAATCAGATGCTGGCTGAGTATATATTATGCAACAAGGTTTTAATTTTCTTCATACATTTTTTTTTTCTTCTGTATTGAGTATGAAACAGAATTTCGATCACCTCTCACAAAGCAGTGTGAGTAGGTATAATTTGTTTATTATTTTTGTTACCTTCTATCTTTTCTATTCATAAGATTGTATTTTTTTTTAAGTGTATTTTATTTTTTTACTTATCTTCTGCAATCTCCTCTCTATGCGTGTATGTATATATATATATATATATATATATATATATATATATATATATATATATATATATATATATATATATATATATATATATATGTATATATGTATGTATATATATGGATGTATTTGTTTTTTCTTTTTCTGCTCGTAATCTATTGCGTCATAGGTAGATCACAATACTTGTCAACTTTTTCACAATATCTTCACATGTTTTCACTTAAACGTCTTAAGGAACATATATAAATCATTTATTTACTCTAGTTATTTTTTTTATTCTTATTTTTATTTTTTTTATATTGTATCACTAAAATTGGTTACCTATAAAACTTATTTAGCATTTCTTTCCAATTTTATTTAGTTATTAGTATGTTGTTGTTTTTTTGTACCAATATTATAATATTGTAACCCTTGTACCCATCTGCTTTCCTTAATATACCCTCCAAAACTATGTATATACTCATTTTATTACTTAGATTGTAGTTACTCTTTATTATAATAGGTCATCTGGCCAGATTTATTGTCAATTGGTTTAAACAATATTGTTATTCTTAAGGGACCTAGTCCCAGAATAAAGATGATTTTCTATTTCTATTTCTATTTCTATAACGACTTATTGTAATCTATGGCTGTGAAACGTCGCTCTTGACAATGAAACATATATGTTCAGATCGAATATGATAAAGATAAGTGCTAAGAAAAATGTAGGGCATCTAGATGAAATTCAAGAATGAGAATTATTTTTTTTTAATTTTACTTTTAAGGACCCTCCGAGACGTCTGAAAAGAAGATGGCCTCGAGATCTCCTTTTGTAAATACATTTTTAGAGTGCTACCAGTGGGTAGTTTCTCACCAAATGATTTCATGTTATTATATTCTATTGTACACATTTACTGAATGTATTTTTACTTGTAATACAGTTGTAAATATCATTAATAAATAAATTAAAAAAAAAACTTTTAAGGAAGTTGTCTAAATTTCTGAATAGATGAAAATCGGTTGGAGATAAGTCTAGCAAATAAGTAGCGTGTGTCTGGAAGGACTTCGTAACACAATTCGTTTAGTTTCTTCACAGTTCTTCGTGAAACATGAGGTCTGGCGTTGTTGTATAGGTCCCTTCCGATTTACCAATACAGGTTGTTTTTTGAAAGGTTTTTGATGCATTGTGTCAATACCACTGCAGTATGATATGGATGCGATGGATTCACCTTTGGAGAAAAAGGAGAAATGATTTATTCCAGCCATTGATCACCACACAGAAACCAATAATTTCATTGGATGCAAATCCTTTTCAAACCATCGGCGAATGGTCGGTTCGATACAACACACTTTCCCGAACACAGTGGTAATGTTTCTTGCAGCTTGGCTGCCGAGTATCCAAGTTTAAACGTATAAAAAAATTAGAAATTCGTGTGTTTCCATGGTTATATGTAATGGCATACTAAACAACGTGCAATCAATTGGAATGCTATTTAATATTGTCAAAAAAGGAGAAGCTTAATAACGGCTCATTATAATTTGTAAACATAGTAAATAACAAAAGTCCATTAATTCCACTCTGAATTTCTGAAATAATAAAAACGAACATCCCTATGAAATGGCCTAATACTTCAAAAAAAAAAAAATATTGAATACCAAATTATTTAATTCTACAATGTCTACGCGAGGTTTTCATCTTGACACAATTTCTGCTTAACACATACTAGACAAACGCTCTAATTTTTCAATCAACTACAAAAGCCTCATTTACACGAATTGGGGAGTTGAGCTCTGGGGCTGCATTGAAAAGAAGATGGCCTCTAGAATTTCTAATATAGAGCATTTATTAAAGTGCCACCAATGACTATTGTGGGGAATATCATTGTACTATATAACACATGTACTTGTATTTTTATGATCAAAGCAGTTGTATATTTCAATAAAATAATTTTTTTTTAAATAAGTATAATTTTATACAATGGTGTGGCTACCATACTCCAAGTTCATTCATCCGCGTACTAAATGAATTATGAATATAGAAGGATTATTCTATCAAAATAGATGTACACACTAGCGGATCCAGGATTTAATTTTGGGGAGGGGCTTCAGCCCGAAAGCTTTTTTTTTTTCATAAAAATGACGATAATTACTATGAAAAAAAAGAAAGAAACTAACTATCTACATGAAATGGTGTTTAAGTGATTCCTTAAGTCCTTTAAAACGTAATTACACGATCAATAATACTTTAAGAAATAATTTTTTAATATATTTTTCCATAAAACATGGTTATAATTTACCATTTGGGAGGGGGGGGGGCTTCAGCCCGAAAGCCCCCCCGTAGATCCGCCCGTGGATGTACATATAATAATAGTATAAAGTGGGTATATAGTCCTCCGTATGATAGTCAATGCTCATTATTACGTTATAAACAAAAACCCCTAATCAATGGACCTTTTCTTCCTTTATATCCTTGAGGTTATTACCATCCGATTTTCAAATTTTCACTTGTACCTAATCCACCATCCTAAACCTTTGCACAATCCTTATCTAGCTCCAGTCATCCCTACAACCCTCTCGAAGGTTGAAACGGCGTGCTCCGAGATCTCTTGTAAAGACGTCACTAGAGTTCTGGCATGGCCAGATTCTTCACTCAAGGCATGAGTGTTTGTGTTTTAGAGCCCTCTCTCAGTCTTCCACGGACTGGTGGTAATGCGCGACGCGGTTGTGAGAGAAGCGCTGGGATCTTTAGAGTCTCGCTTTGTTTTCACACGTGGGGGGAAGTGCTGGATCGGAGATCTCTTTACCTAATTGTAAATATTGTATTTAAGTATGAATGGTTTTTCTTATTTTATTTCTATTTCTTATAATTTATTTAATTTGCTACGATATTTCTGTTTTCATTTAATTTTAACTCTTGTACAATTTTCCTGCGGTGTATTTATAGTTTTAGCCTTTGTTATATAGATTTTTTATTTTTTTTATTTATTTAATTTTTTTATTTATTTATCTTTTTTTTTTTGTATGTATTGTTTATATAGTATGAATGTGCACTAAATAGCTCTTAGTATATCAGTGCCCTTTAATGTGTGGCTAAATGTTATTATTACTCAATAAACAGATAGAAAAAAAAAAAAAAAAGTGGGTATATGACGGTTAATCTATTTGACTTATTATAGAACTCGACGGATCATTACTGGTTCCTGGTCCCTTTTGATAACTCCTTCCCCCTGTCTGCAGCAGTTCTCACCTAAATCCTCCAGGCATCATGAATTAATAAAGGATCACAACAGTCTCATTAAGTTCAAATGAAAATAAGAAAGTGTGGTCGGGCTCAACTACTATATCAAATTCTGATGATATTCGAGAGCATGTAACTTCTCCACTATATCCAAATCATTCCCAAAATCAGTAATCCTACCATCGTTATTTTCACACCATCATTCTATATACTATTAAGCTGATGGAAGGACATCCATTATTTTCAGAATGTCTCTGGTGCCGCTGATATTCAGGGATTGGTGGGACGACTGGGACCGGGAGAGACCATCAAGGCTCCTCGACCAGCACTTTGGAAACGTTCTAAACCGTGACGACCTGATAAACGCCTCTTCGCTCATTCGACCTACTGGTTACTTCAGGCCTTGGAGGCACCAGCTCAATCGTGGAACCTCTAACATAACTGCTGTCGATGACAAAGTTCAAGTTAGTCATTAGCAATATTGTTTATTATTATATTATTGTATTATTATGTTTATTATTTACATTTTAAAAGTCAAGAGAGATATTCAGGCAATTTATAAATGCCCAGATACGCTATACATTCTTTTTATGTATTCAGCAAAGTATAAAATTGTGAGTGAATTTTTCTTTTTTTTTCTTTCACACTGTAGAATCCTATTCATTTTTCACATTAACAAACGATGCTCAAGTTGTAGAACTCTCATAGTGCCCATTAACAATGTTACACCTAGATAGTGAGTTCTTACTTTGTGCTTTTGAATCCTTCGTTTTTGCAAAAATAAAATTTGTTTTTTTTCAGTAGCTCTTGGAATTTTTTTGGCTTGTAACGTCGTATTTTCTGTAGTCTGGAGAGTGAGAACACTGGGAAGTACATATCCTTTTTCACGAAAATCATCAAGACATATAACCCTCTTCAACGGACTGGAAACTTCATTTAATAATACCCTGCTCTGTGTCAAACCTATAATTAGTCAAAGACAGAATTCATTCGTTCCTGATCACAACAAACTATGATCCAGACACACGAGAAATTAACTTGAATCGGTTTCCAAATTTTATTATTTCAATTTCTGGCATCGTTTTAATCAACTTTCCTTATATTTAAAGCTTAAAAGAACGATGTTAGAAATTGTTTCAGGTCAATAAATCGCACTACCACAACGTTGCGTATTTGGGAATGCCGAATGTATTATTTTCATACAAGTATGGTTTACTTTGATGATCATCCCAGCGATATTTTCTTCGACTGACCGAGTTTACTGGATTTTTACTGCGTTGACAGTAAATCCATGATAATCTGCGTTTGTATCTTAACACTGAGGATGTTTTCCTTTTTGTCAGCTACAATGAATTGCTGAATCCTAATAGGCTATATTAGTTCATTTTTATGATCTTTACCAACAACAAAATACAATCAGGGGAGGGAGGGGTATACAATTCTAAGGGTTTATAAAATGAATTTCACATCTTTCGTTTTATATCTTACATGATTACAAAAACTGTCTAAAAATCCCTTATAATATTTAATCTCATTAGTTCATAGAAGGTAATTTATGTAATGGATACATAAATTCCTTCTCTTCTTCAGAGTTGCATGATGCGTTTTCCAAAATTCAAGAAGACTTAATCAAACCTCCTCTCAGGTCCAATTCAAACATTCCTTTCCTGTTACTAACTGACCATTCCACCTTCAGCTGCTCAGTAGAAAAACCTAGGCATTTTTATAGACCAAATCCTCTCATGGAATCACCATATTGATCACATATATCGACGGCCATTTGGTATCTTGAAACTATTCCATCGCTTCCGCCATCACCTCCCATTCACCATACCTAGATTCCTGGTATCTTCCATCACCTTGATTACGACTGCGTGGTGTACGGTGGCATCTCGGCAGAACTAGGGAACAGACAGAAAAGAATCATGAATGCCTTCGTAAGATTTTTCACTGGAATCCCGAGACGTTCCCGTGTTTCTCCCCACTATGCTCTTCCTCTCCTTCCGAAGACAATATTTCCTAAGCACATTCCTTCACCAAATAATCAATAATTATCGTCTGTCCTACGCATACAAGCTCCTACAACTCAAGTTATCTATCCTCGCCCTCTCCACAAGATCTCGTCCTTCTGACCTTTATATCCCTTTCCACAGATCTGCCTCATTTAAAAATTCCTTTGTTGTCCATTCCACTGCAACTTGTAATTCCATTCCACTAAAAATCCACCCTGTATAATCCTTATCCAAATTTAAAACCCTGTTGTTCCAATTCCTATTCACAGTTCAATCAGACGCTGGCTAAGTATTTATTATGTTACAAGGTTTTAATTTCCTTTATACATTTTTTTTTTTATTTGTTTTAAATATAAAACAGAATTTCCACCATATTTCAAAAAGCATTGTAAGTAGGTATAATTTGTTTTTGTTTTTTTCTTAACTTCTACTTTTCCTATTCATAAGATTTCTTTGAAATGAATTTTATTTTTTACTCATCTTCGACACACTCCTCTCTCTATATGTGTGTTTGTGTGTGCTTATATATATATATGTGTGTGTGTATTTTTTTTTTCTCCTCTTAATCAATTGCTTTATAAGTAGATCACAATACTCTAGTTGTTCCCTATATATTTTTGTGTATTCACTTAAACTTCTTAAATAACAGATGTCAATCATTTATTTACTCTAGTTATTTATTTATTTTTTGATATTTTATCCCTACATGGTTTACCTATAAAATTTAGTTAGCGTTCCTTTCTAATTTCATTTAGTTATTTTTATGTTATTGTTTTAGCACCAATATTGCAACCCTATTACCCATCTGCTTTCTTTAATACATCCTAAGACTATGTATATACTTATTTTATTACTTATATTTTAGTTATTTTTTATTGTAATAGGTTTTTTGGCCAGATTTATTGTTAATTTGTATACACAATATAGATATTCTTAAGGGACCTAGTCCCAGAATAAAGATGATTTTCTATTCTATGCTATTGTAATTGATTAATTATTTTTTTAAAGATCACCTCCTAGCTATGTGACGCGATTCATCAATAATTATGCCACATAAAACTAAGCTCCAGTTAATAAGGATTTGGAAAATCCGTGTGGCATTCATTGAATAATTTTAAATGTTATGTCAATTAAATATACACGTTCCTTCACGACATTTTTATTTTCCTTCTTTTCTTCCTAAACATTATGAATAAAAAACGATATAAATTTCAAACATGTTGTTTTCCCGTGGTTGACTTCTTCACTAGATACTTGTGATTTACCTATAATAAGTACTGTCTTATTTATTATTCATATATGGATGTATAATGAGAATCTTTGGTGTTCCAGGTAGTGCTAGACGTTCAACAATTCGCACCTAACGAAATATCAGTGCGAACTGTAGACAATGTTGTGATAGTCGAGGGTAAACACGACGAAAAGAGGGATGAACACGGCTACATCTCGCGACACTTCGTCCGGAAATACCTGCTTCCAAAGGACGTCATTATGAGCGAGATTACGTCTGCTCTTTCCTCCGACGGGATCCTAACCATTAATGCCCCAAAGCAGGTAAATTCTCCTAAATGATGTTTTTTTTTATTAATTAATGTGTAATAGATTCATCTGATCATATGTTCACGATTTGGAGAAATTTCCCCAAACGATTACGGGATCACTTCCTGCTCGGGGGCCCTCGATATAACAATACACTTGAATTCAAATTGTGATATCTTAACCTATAATAATGAGGACACTGTAAATGTCGACAATGGCCGCTCCGGTTATGTTTATATCGACCATTCTTTGCATTCAACTGAGCGTTCGCACATGGGAAGTCCTATTAAGAATCGTCTACTACACAGTGCTTAGATGTTGTATTCTAGGCCTTTTTAATTGCTATATTAATCCATTTCCTAGCTCTCGTTGAACCTCAATGTAACATTTATAGCTGTTCTTATCTCCCTACAGGCTGCTGTTATTTTTTCATTTAAGAGGTTTAAGTTAATAACCAATGAAAATTTGGGTCCTAAGGACGTCCAGCTTTTATCGGTAAAAAATATCAACTGTCTTAAATGTATTTACTAATAATAGAATTTCTGTGCATCAATCCTGAACGAAGTCACATACTACCTGCATTATTTCAAGTATTGTGAGTTAATTAAAGCTCTGTTATGAGAATTTTCATTCTTCATCCTCAAATACATGAGCCTAGATCCCAGCGTCCTCAAATCTTCTTGATTCGAAACATCGTTCACGCTAACCGACAGGAAATGGGGGTATAGAGGTTTGAATGGAGGAAACCTGTACTTAAACGGTCTACCAAATAAATACCTTCTCAACAATATCCCCAAAACGCGATAAGTTATTCTTATCAATCATTAATCTAATGAGAATGAAGAAAATAAAATATGGAGGTCTGTCAGACCTTTGTTTCTTAAAACCTTATTGGTCAGATCTTTCCGCTAAATTCAACTTCAATTTCTTCTATAATTCTTATAATTTTTTTACAAAATTATTTGGAATAGTTTTAAATTAGCTATCATAAATAATTTAAAGTTACTAAATTCTTAATTCATAGCTATAAAAACACGACATTAGTACGTTGGTCTGACTACTTGAAGAAACTAATGGTTTGGTAAATAAGTCCTTTAAGGCTTTCCGGATGAAATAAAACTGAATGTATTGTAGACATAAAATTTATTTTAACCTAAAATATATTGACCATTATTTAACATGACTTTTTTCCGTCTTTTACTTAATTTTTTGGTCATTCTTGTCCTTTTATATTACGGTTTTAATGATAATTAATATATTTTTCAGGTTTAATATGAATAAACTACATTTTGTTGGATCGAGAATTTTTTAATCAACTGATAAAATTTTCCATTCTTTATTTTTTCGTAATGCACTCATACAGTGCTAGTGTAGGCAAAGGTGTCCAGAAGTGGGTTTCATGGGGCAAGTTGCGCCATCAAAGTTTTTGAGGGGAGAACATTTTGAAGGTATTCTGAACTTTTGAGGATGATACATTTTAACGGAGTTATTAAGCACGGTAATTCATGAATGAACGTCACAAGAAGTTCCAAGATTGCCCGCGATCGCTTTGATCATGAAGACCCTTACACGTTCAATCATTACTGATCATTACTTATCGTTGCTGATACCAATTTAGCTCAGTTGTAAACAAAGAAACAGCATTAGATATGCTTATTTGGACATTGTCATTTATAATATTGGGCATCAAGAGAAAAACGGAGATATAATAATTACTTCCTAGTGCCTGAAAATCGTTTAGATCAAAGTTAGTAAAATATAAGTCAACTACATACAAAAATGGAAAAATTAATGGCAAATAAACACAACAGTTAAAGATTTTTTTCTATAAGTAAATGGTGAAGTTTCCACTTTTTCTCTTCAATTTATTGCCTACTTGACTACTTAAAAAAAATAGTTGAAAATGGTTAATAATAATATAGACTAGGGATATAAACAACTATTTACTTTTATGAATTATTACTTAATAACGAGACCTAGGTAAACTAACCTATCTAGTAGTAAGGTTAGTCTCATAGAAAATCGTTTTGACAAAAGTTAGTAAAATATAAGTCTACTACTTACAAAAATTAAGGAAAGGTATTGCGAAAATAATAAATTTGTTGAGGAAAATGGGAAAAGAGCTGACAAATAAACACAACGTTAAAGTTTTTTTTTTTTTCTTAAAGTAAATTGTGAAGTTTCCTCGTTTTTATTTTTAAATTTGTTGCCCACTTGTTTATTTAAAAGAAATAGTTGAAGATAGTTTAAAATTATAAACAAAGGATATGAAAAATTATTTAACTATTTACATATAATGAAAATCAGAAATTTATAATGGTTGTGAGGCCTAGATAACCTAACCTATTCAGTAGTATGGTTAGTCTCCCCACTACTTTCACCTCAGTCCCCCCTCCACTTCTCGTGAATGAACCATTGATTTCCGGATGTTCGGAAATCCGCAGCGCACCACCATCAGTACTTCATTCACTACCTTACACGATAATTCGGAACGTCATTAGTGCAATTCCGAATGACCGTGTAGGGTCCGCTTACTACCAGACCGATGTTTCCGTGTGTAATTTTTAAGGGTTGTTTCGACTTAAGGGTGAATCAATTGTTTATTACTAGACCCCAGAACAATGGTGAAATGCTTGTGATCATTCTATAAATGATTTATTGGCATAAATAAGCAATAGATTGTACTTGCGAAGTATTCTTTTGAAACACATTGCCCAACCAGAATTACTTAATGTATCAGGAATTTAATTTTTACATATTTACACATATACTTTTATTCGTATTGTTAAGAGATATGATACGGATAAATGTTCCGAAAATATATAATTAATCCTTTGTTTAAATAAAATAATTGAATTTCGAGTTTGAAAAAAAAAAAAAAAAATGAGGTTCTCGAGAATGTTTAGCCCCAAGCTTTCCTTGATTACGCTAGAGTTTGAAATAACTATGATTCTATTTTTTAGTAAAAAACTGACCCATCCCCTTTACCATACATACGTGATTTACCATAAATCTTTAAGGTCTTTTTAAGCTAATAATTGATTTCTGAACTTAATCAATTGTGCCAACTAATTATAATGGATATGAAACCTGTCAGGTCACAAAGCTTTTCACAGAAATAATTGGTACAAACGGATGAAAAGAAAATACTTCCAATTTATTCTCATCTACTCTTGTAATACAATGATAAAAACATGCAGTATAATTAATACACCAAGAAAAAAAGCAACATTAATATTATCCAATGATAAGAAAGAAAGAAAGAAATTAAGTGTTATAGCAGAAGAGGTTAGATAAAATGATTTTTCAAAAAAATATATATTTATTGAAATTTACAACTGTATAAGATAAAATTACAACTAGAAAATTTGAATTGGTAATATGATGTGTACAATATGAAGAGAAACTACCCATTGGTAGCACTCCAATTATAGTTCTATTTTAGAGGGTCCCGAGGCCATCTTCTTCTCAGACGTCTCAGAGAATTGAGATAAATTTAATAGTAAAAAAAAGATAACAAATAGGATGCGAATTTGAGATTTCACGATTTTATTGAGTTGAACAGTACAAAAGTAATAATATATTTCTACACAGATGAAAGGAAAAGGGAGGAGAAACAAAATTGTGTGAATTAACAAATGGGGATGAATAATATGGTCATTTGAAAAACATGAATTTTGCTGTCTGAGATAATTGTATGTAATTCGCAACCAAATATGGTCCAGGTTTTTTACAGCAGATCCTTGAGAGATATCTGTTTGTCAATATCGAGTCCTATTGAAACCAAAAAAAAAATTTATAAATAATAGTAGAATCTGATCAATACCATTTCATCTCTTATTTATATAGCTATTTTTTATTTTCTCTTGGAAAAGCAACAAGCAAGCTAATTTTCGCTGACTTTGATAAGAAATTAATTTCAGTTGTTGATCATATAATAAAGTGTAATTGATGTAAAAAGTAGTTGATCATATAATAAAATATGATCACATAATATAATCATATTATTCAATGGAATCATATTAAATATCTATTGTTGAAGTAATAAAATAAAAATTCATTGATCAGTTACCAGAACCCTGTATGTTTATTCTTTTTTATTTTTGATTCTTACCTTTCTGTAGCAATGTAGAATTTTGATGATGATGTGAAAAGGTCTGTGTCTAAGCAACAGATTTACACAAGTATCTCTGTATGTTTATTCTTTTTTATTTTTGATTCTTACCTTTCTGTAGCAATGTAGAATTTTTATGATGATGTGAAAAGGTCTTTGTCTAGGCAACAGATTTACACAAGTATCTCTTCCTTTTGGAGGTGGGAAGTATTAAAACTTCTTAAAAAAATTATTCCAAAAGTAGTGTTGAGCTCATTAACGAGAGAGTATAAATTTAAATGAAGTGTCCATGAAACATTATATAAAACTTTGCTAATTTGAGAAATTTAACAATCCTACATCAATAGACATTTTCAGACGTAATCCAGTGATAGACGAATTGTGTAGATTCTTAAATATGTTTTAATTTATAAAAGTATTGTCAGGCTGTAGTTTTTTTATATATATTTTTTTCTTCTGTGTAGTAACTCCTTCCCACCATGTAGTATCCTATCCTGGCATGAACTTTTATAGAAGAGCAATGTGGGGTTGCTGCTTATAAATACTAATACTCCATTAAAATACTTACCCCTATCATCTTCTCATCCCATTAGATAGATAGAAACGTTTATTTGTTTATAAATTACATAATACCATTTTTTTTTTTTACCTGATTCGCTCATCCCATTATCCAGGTTACTTTTATATACACTTATATTGATAGAAGAATTTCTCTTGTTCTTTATGAAGACAATTTTTTTAACCCAAATTTGTATGCCACAATATTATTATTACTTTTTTAAAATTGTGAAAATGTGTTACATCCTTTTAATAATACAGTTGTTTATTTTATAGCATATTTTTACAGTCATTATATCAATATCTAAAAAACTTATGATTTCCCATTATAAAATTACACAAACACACACACACACAGATATATATATATATATATATATATATATATATATATATATATATATATATATATATTTACAGAACTTCCTTCTCTCTTTCAACTGTACTGAATTACAGAAATCTCAAACTAAGGGTGTACAATGCAGTGATAAAGCCAGTTCTGCTGTACAGCTGTGAAACCTGGGCTCTAACCAACACCCTAGGAAGCAGAATTGAGATTCGAAAGAAAATTCCTCCGTACGATAACAGGACCTATCTGGGATCAGAACCTTAACACATGGAAGAGAAGGAACAATAAAAAACTGTTAAAAGAAACTGGTCAATCAATATCACATATAAAGGCAAGGAGGTTAAGATGTTTAGGGCATGTAGCTTGAAGCAATCGGGACGCCTTTACACAACAATGAATGCCAGATTAGTTGGCAAGAGACCGTGTGGGACGCCAAAAACCAGATGGAAAGATAGGATAAACAACAATACAGCTGAGCTTCTAAACATCTTAGCTTGAAAGGTGCGAAGGGCGATTTGACTTAAGGTTTATTGATTCACTGAGTACTGGTCATTAGTAGTTAGATAAATTATGTAGTTGAAATATATTACCTCCAAAGAATAACATAAGATTTTGGCACTTTTATCATTTCCAGTCATCTTGCTTCTTCATTGGCATTTTCATAGGATTTATCTGTTTTATTTTTCAAAATAATCAATTTTTTGTATTTATTTTTCTTTTAGACAGATTTCTTTAATAATTCCTAGAATGAATATGAATCTAATACAAAATTTATTGATTTTTAAAGCTGCCCCAGGATTCCAGAACGGAAAGAGAGATTCCAATAATTCAGACAGGATCACCAGCCATCAAACCATCAACAGAAACCAATATAAAAATAGAGCAAGTTAATTAAAACTACTTTTGCTAAATTAATGACCGAATAATATATTATTACTTATTAAATATACATCTTTCTGAATATTGCTTATTTTATTTCATTAATATATTTTCCTTTCAATGCTAAAATTTATTTATAATGAATAAAATATAGTTAAAGTTAAAAAATAATTATTGACTGTATGAAGGTTTATCTTGGAAAATTAATGACCACAAAATCATTAAAAAATATTTAATTATGTGAGCTGAGTTCCAACACAAACATTTTAGGCTATATTCAGGGGAAGAAGTGATTTCATTGAGATATACTTCCAGTTCTGAGAGTGACTTTAGGAATTCACTTCTTACTCTTAAGTTTGAGTCAAAACTGTTTATAGTGATAATTAAATATTTTTACTGATTTCCTGATTATTCGTTATTGGAGATATAGATATGACAGTATATTTTCTAATCATTTTATATAGTTTGTATTTATTTATTATATAAAAATGATTTTTCCTGCATCAATCTAAAATATTGTGATATTGTATATTAGTTAATGCCTTTTAGAATACTTGACATGATATGTGTTTGCTTTTTTTTTTTTTTGTTATTAAATGAAAAGTATTGTTTTATTTATAATTGTTATCTAAGTTGAAAGATGAACATTTATTGCATAACATGATTTCCCATGTTTCTGTTTATTGATGATTTATTTTCTATAAATCTTCTTCAAATTTTTTAAAAATTTGTTTGTCGAGCATTTTCAAGAGTCTTAACATTATAAGCAAAATGAAGTAAAAAAGTTGAGCTTATTGTAAAATTAATTAGTGTATCCATCATATTTTTCTCTGCAGTCACAGAAGTTTTTTTATGTAACTTTTTTTTTATTAAAATGAATAGTTTTTAAAACGAATGATTATTTTTTTTTGCTACATGGTTAGTGAATAACATAATAATAATAACCGTCATGTTTAATTTACTGAATAAATTAAAATCACCTAAAGATTATTAATTGAAATATAATGCAACAAATATAGATAGCGAAGAAAAAAACATAAATTGGTGGTGATTAATTCATACTGTTTGATTACGGACCATGAATCAGTAATTAGTAATATTGGATGTATTTCATAGCTGTACTAACATACATAAATAAAAATATTAACAAAATATTAGTTTATGTATAATAATTATTTATTAAATGAAATATGTGAAATAAATCAAGAAGGGAAAGTTAAATAATAAAACTTCCCAATTATTACTTAATAAAATGACACTCGCTTGGTTATACAGTCTGCATTATAATTAAAAAAAAAAATGTAATTTTACTCACAAATCTGTTCCTGTATATAATTTGATAATTAATATAGATAACATATCAATTTAGTATGTATTTGCATATTGGTTTCTTAATACGTTTAGTTTATAAATGTAATCCCATGCAAATGAATAAACCTTAAGAAATCTTTTTGAATAAAAATTATTTGTAAACCACCAGTGCCCAATATGTTGGAAAATATGAGATCATGGTCATTATTAAATAAGTATTGGCCCAGAAAATAATGTTTTTTTTATGTAAAGAAAGTGATTGACCCAGGGCAGGATTTTTAACACTTAAAGGAAGGAGATTGCTGACAAATCAACTAGCAAACACAATGATGTAATGAATACGAAGAAATTTGTTAATAATAATGCATTTAAAGAGCTTGGTCATGAAAATAAAGCATTCCCAACATCAAAAAGAAAAATTTACAATGCAATTTTTAACCATTAACAATATTTCACTTAAATTTGATTGTTTAAGACATGAGCCTAATAATTAAAAAAAATTAAATGAAATAAATGTTTATTAATCTTAGTGATGAAATATAATAATTTCCATAGATTCTCTGTCGAGTAACATACCTTGGGATATTTTTTTAATTTTTTTTCCAGTAGTCAAACTATTAAATAAAAATTAATGAATCAATTTTTAGTTAATTTAATGTAGATAAATAATAAAGTTTTTGATTTAAATGTGTATAAAGTATAAATTTTACACTAAAAATATTTATTATAAAAAAATCATTTATTTATTTTTAAAATATTAGATACTATCATTGGTATTTAATAGTATTATGATTTACTTAGGAATTTAAATAAAATAAAAATAAATTTAAATTCTGGGCTTTCATGGTACCAAATAAACTTAAATATTCATATATGATACCATTTAGGATTGTTCCAGAATATAAATAATTAAATATAAATTAATTATTTTAAAAATAACACCTCAAAGTAGTAGTATTCAAACTATTTTGGGCTAACATTTTCAAAAGACATTCTTAAATAAGATATATGAAACTAATTTCATAACATTTGTATTCATAACTATTGCATATCATTAAGACAATTATTGTTAAATTTGAGGATTATTTTTTAAAATCATAGAATGCAGGTTGTGTTCACTAAGAACCAATCATATTTTATCCAGTGGCCAACATGCATTTCTTCAAAGAAAACAAAACGTATGACTTTGATCAACCACTAAGAAACCAAAGTATGTTTACAGTCACTAAGATTAATAAAAATATTTTTTATTTAAAATAAATAAACTAATCCTATCCACAACAAAATATAAAAGGAATAATTTTTTTATTAAATTTAAAGAAGCATTTATTATTATAATTTTCCAACATATAACATCATAATTCCATTAGCTGAACAATAAACACATTTAAAAGAGGAACAATTCAGTACTATAAATATGAAAAAAAAAAATAGTTTTAGCTTATACATTTATCCTCTTCAAGCTAGTGTATAATCCTCTTCATGATTAAAATGCCAGACTGCATAAATATAAACTTGACAGATCGGGTATCTATATAATTATAATGCCCTAACAAGTGAATGGGCTTACCAAAGGGTTGTTTTTTAAAATTAAAAAGGTATCTAATAAGGCTTTTAATTAAAAGGATATTAATAACAGAATTTCCCCAAATTCTTTTTTTCTATAGTTTATTCCTAAAATATTGAAAGATTAGTAGGTGATCTGCAATTTACCTTACACTATGCATTCTAATGTTGTTTAATATTTTAGAAATTATTGTGTCTTTGGTTTGATTTAGATTTATTTGATTTTTATAATCTATAATTCATTTATTTTATACCGAAAATCTAAGAAAAGTTATAAATAACAACTAATTTTTATGTTTTCCATGTTGCAAAAAACTTTTCTAACTATTGGTTTTAAAAATGTAATAAATAGATAAGTATACTCAAAATTTAACTATTATCAGAAAAATAAAGACTGCTCATTTTAAAATTTCAGTATGAATCATTTGTTACAAACAAATTGGTAAAAAAAGTATTATTAATTATGTATGCACTCATGAATAAACATGTTCTTACTATACAGGATACGCGTGGTAATCAACAAGAATTTATGTAAAAATTTAATATAATATTTGTTTAAAAATAATATTGAAAATTACTTCAACCTCATCTGGAAACTATGAAGTAAATTGAGAGTTTAAAAATAACTTCCTGCTTCTTTGATTATCTAGAAAAATACCAATAAAATGCCAAAATAATAATATAAAATATATAATTTTATGTTGTTTCTTTTGTTAGACTTAGGTGGTACGATTAAATTACACACCTTACAACAATTATATTTTTTTAAATATATTTATCTGTGCTTCAATAATGAGTTATAAAAATTAACATGAGTTTATACACTCTAACAACTAAAATGTAATTCATATAGTTTAAAGGGCTTACGTCAAAGGATTAAAAATGAAGGCTCATCAGATAAACAAGAAAAGAAGAAATTAGTTAAGAGTGTTAGGAATATATTTATACTCCTTTGATTTGTTTCTTCTTTGTACATTAAATTTAACATGATATGCTTAAAATGGCAAAATCAACATGTTAATAGCCAGTTTAGCAGACGATAGCCATTTACCAAAGCTATATTATTTGCATTTAATAAAGTGTTATTCTTTAATTTTATAAGAATTTTTCTTTTAATCACAGTACCTAAGCAGTCTAAAAACGTCTGTATAATATATTTGTGTGTGGAATATTCAAGGTCTTATTTAAAAATATATATTTTTAAGTTTAAAAAATATATACTATTTTAAAAATATATTTCCTTTTTTTGGAGGGAGGAGATAGATCTTGTTAGTTTATTAAGAAAAGGATTTTTTTTTTTTCTTCTTTTTGGCCTAGTAATGAATGTAATTCTTATTTCTTATGATTTAAAGCCTGTGAATGAATTATGTGTAATGAAATAAAAAGTAACAACATTTATTAAAAAGTGTATTGGAATTTTCTTATTAAAAATTTTATAGTAAAACTAAAAATAAATATATTGTTATACAAAAACAAAAAACAAGGAAAACACTGAGTATTTAAAATTTGACTTCCTATAATGCCAGAATATTATTCATTGCTTATGTCGTATACATAATGTCAGATATAATATAAAAAATTAAATATTAAATCAATAGTTTTTGTGCATTTACGGCACTTAGATAAGCATTAGTTTTAGAAATATCTTGATATTAGGAATTGAAGACCTAATGAAACGTAAATCTAAATTCTAAGTGTCTATAGGGTAACTTTTCATTATATTTCATTTATTAATTTTTAAAAAATACATAAGTCATGTTAAATTAATATGAATACTATCTAGTCATGTTTTGACTACAATGATGAGTGTTTGAAACCCACATCTTTCATTTATACTATTTCTCATTTAATAAAAAATACTATACACTTGGCTATATTCTATACATTTATGGTATTAAATTATTAAATAATTAAATTAAATATTAATCTTACTTCTAAGAATAAATAAATTAATAAAAATTCCAGAAACTTGTACGGGTTGATCAATGTATTTTTTTTTATTTTTTTTTTATTTTAAAGACTAGAATATATGGTGAGTGTCAAGCTTTTAGGTTTTAATGTTGAATTTTGGAGGTTTTTCATCCTAAAAACTCGACCATGCGCAAGATTTTTTCCTCCTCTTCTCTCAGGAGCAGGACCTCCAGACATCCTTTGAAATACTTATTTCCAAAACATTTAGACCTGCAAAAGTTGAAAAAATAATAAAAAAAATTTTCATGGTTAATATTTTCCATTTTTAGTTATAAATACTACTTTTACCGATTCCCTTAATGTTATTCCTATAACAGATTAAAAATATAAAATGAAGATTATTAGCAAGTTAAAGTTTCAGGCTTTCTATTATTTTCTGTCCATGTCTGTCTCAAAAATCAAAATACAGAAATGGAAAAAAAAAAGAGATAAAAAGAAAAATATATATTTAAAAACACAAAAAAAATGGGCTGGTGTTTTTCTGTTTTAAAATTTTGATCAAAAATCTGATTTTAAAAATAGATCAAAAGCAATAAAATGTTTGAAAATTTTTTTAACTCTCTAAATTTAATTTTACCCAATAATACATTAAGAAAAAGTAAGCTTTAAAAATAACTTACATCCTTAAAAAAAAGAAGTTGTGGATTCTATCAGAACATTAATAGAACATAAAATGCTTTTACCATTATAGTGAATGTGATTAAAACAAAAATATTTATTGGGGGCACAGGTTAATTGAGATTTAAATAAATTCAACTAAAATAATAAATAAAATTAATGACAACATAATGAAAATAAGGAAAAACTTAAATAAACAAAAAAACTAAAAAAACTAAAAAAAAAAAAAAAAAAAAGTACCTAAACCTCAGGTTCAGCCCCATGTAATTGTTTTATCCAAGTTTGTATGTTTTCCATTTCATCTTGTAGTAGAAGAACATCTAAACATCCTTTGAAGTAGTCGGTTGTAAAACAGTTCTTCCTAAAAAATGAGAAAAGCATATATTCGAACAATTCTTGGTGTTTAGATTTGAGCTGTTTTATTTTTATTAAAGACTTGTGCTGATGAAGACAATTTTGTAGATGATCTCAAATGAAAATCGAATAATATAGTCTTTAACATGTTGGAAAATGCAATATGTTTAAGTATAGTACAGCCATTTGAATGAAGAAACAAGTGATAAAAGGTAAGGTAATGAGCTTAGAAATACATTAAAACAATTACCTGATATAAGTTAAATTGCTTATGTGTTTTGATATGACAATGTAAATTTTATAGTGAACTTGAACATGTTTATTTTCAGGATCAGATTCATATTTAACAATTTGTAAGGCTTAGGGGACCTTTACAAATAAACAAAATATAGGCAAAAGGAATTAAGTGCAATCCTTATCTTAGATTAAAAATCTTGGAAATTATATAATATACATACATACTAAAGTAAACTTGAGTGAAAATGGAAAGGATAATTATAACACAAAGTTTTATTATATCATTTTGGTTACCTGTTACGCCATGCTGCTCATAATGATTAAAATATTAAATACTAAATATATGGTCAGTTTATTGCAAATGTCACTAGGTAATTTTTTATATAGTTTAACTTTCCAAAATGTTTTTATGAATTGTGATTTTATTTATCCATAAAAAAAACACTGTAAGGGCATGAAAATGGAACAAAACCTTTTCTACATCAAATATAATTATAACAAGTGCATAATTTTCTGATTTCATAAAGTAAAAGTTGTTCAAAGTTCTTAATTAGTTAAGGTTATAAAATGTCACTTAATGATTTTTTATAGAAAACCGATGGTGTACCAGCTCTTACATGTTGAATTTAAATAATAATAAATCTTAATAATTGTTATATAATCTAATTATAATTAAATAAAAATAATGATAAATAAGGGGGAATAGTCTGGCAAGTAAACATGTTGTCCTTTTGGCTAACCTCTGATGACTAGATACAGTCCACAACCTGTAGGTACTAAACAGATTTGGGGTTTCAAAACTCGTATTATGGAACTACCGCGACATATATCCTAAACGATCGGAATCGAACCCTCATGGCTATAACCTAGACACTGAAGGACCCTCGCAAGAACGCAATCGGCCAACACTGCCTCGCCCATAAAATATAAAAATAAAACATGTTTATAACCACATATGTTGAATGAAGTTATTTTTCTTAATTACAGTGGCGGCCTTCTTTGAAAACAGGGAATTATGAAACAAAGTGCATAGTTACAATTTGTAAGAGGGAGAATAAACAGTAGCATTTTTGGTAGCAAACGGTGGAAGGGGCGAACATTTGAAAATTAAAATAGTGAAACCATGAATAGTTTTTTTTTTGTCTGCAGTATGATGAACAATCAGAAGTTGTCAACGTTCTCTCCCCCCCCCCCCAATTGCTTGCATACGGGGTTCGGGAATCGGTTTGGGTAAGAAAGGATTCGCATTAAAGAACGGAAACCATAAGTTTAGGAGGGAGTCCTTGAGCAAGGGGAGGGTTGGCATCCCAGTTTGAGGTCATAAAAAATGCTTACAAAAAGAAAACTAACATTAGGTCGGTATCCGAGGCATATATAGGATTTTTTCAAAGAGGCAGATTCTATTTTTAGGTTTGTAAAAAAGTGATTTCATTATTAAAAAAGTGAAACATTATTATAAATAAATCTGCGGTAGCTGTAAATGATTGATTAAGTGGATGTCTTTTTTCATTATTTTCTCTTTGGCTTAGCCGTAATATCCATATTACTTGGAGGAGTGCTCATCCCCTCCCAAGGCCGATAAGCCTTTCCCCACCCCTCCCAAGATATTTTATTTCAATCTTCTTCTAAAAAACAGAACAAAAGAAAGAAGAATTTGAATATATGTAAATTCTTTACCATTACACATCCTGGGGTCTGTTCCGTGATTCCACTTGTCTTTTGATTTGAAACTTTTCATTTTGAAAATTCATAACCCCGTCAAAAATGTGCCCCCCCAAAATGTGTGTTTTGGTAAAACACAAAATGTGTTTTCAAAAATGTGTGTTGAAATGTGCCCCTCTCAAAAATTGAAAACCTCGTCAAAAAGTGCTCCCCTCATCACCAGCGGATCCAGGATTTATTTTTGGGGGAGCCTTCAGCCCGAAAGTTTTTTTTTTTCATAAAAATAACGATAATTACTTTGGAGAAAAAGAAAGAAACTAACTACCTGTATAAAATGGTGTTTAAGTTATTCCTAAAGCCCTTTTAAATGTAATTACATGAATAATAATACTTTAAGAGATACTTTTCAAATATTTTTTTTGATAAAACATGGTTATATTTTACCATTTTGGGGGGGCTTCAGCCCGAAAGCCCCCCCCCCCCCCGTATATCCGCCCGTGCCCCTCATTAATTTTTGTGACGTAACTTGAGCAAAAAAAAGACCCTTCTGGGTACTACCCCTGATTACTTGGACATAAAAACATTAGACATACGCAAGTAGAAAAAGAATGTTTGAAAAACATGTCTCGGAAAACACATCTGCTCTTAGTTCTATCTATGATTTTAGTTGTAAGATTTTATTATCGTAGATATAGCGCAAAAACTAAAACTAACTTAGTTACAGAACAAAAAAAAAAAAAAAAAACAACTAAAATTATGATGTTTTGTTTAAATTTGTTTGTCCTAATAACAGATCTCCTAAGTAGTGAGAAAACTGGTTAAAAAATTCTCAATAAAATGAAAATCAGCATAAAATGTGACTTTGAGCACTGCAATAATGAAAAGAGTCTCACATTCGATTTTTTTATTTTTTTTTTTATGTATAGCCTTATCACTATGCTGCTTGCTCGAGAACGTCCAATCATGAAAAACTTGTCCTTTTTTAAATATGAATTTTCAAAAAAAGGCAAATATAATTTTTGGTGAGTTTTGACTTTGTATATCATACACGGGAAGAACATGAGTGAAAAAAGGACGAAACTTTATAATGGGAACGTATGGTATTAATTCGGTGAATGATACTGGATCCAGAGTTATATATTATATCAAATATGGCTGAGAAATGAGATAATTAAACTATAAATCAGTACCCTGGCAAACCAGCTCTAAATATAAGAAAGATATTCTTCCTTCAGTTGACTACTATTTTATATCCAGACATTATTAATGCGACAATTATTTTTAAAATTGCTGGGCGTAAAGGGGAAACGATATTAATTTGTCACTAATGCAGCCAAACTTCCAAATTTTAACTTTCATTTTTTCTTCCAATGTCCGACAGCTTCACTGTGCGACAACTATGCTGTGCATCTATTATTACTGTATGTACAAAATTCCAAATTGTACAAGACTACTTTAGTGTAAATACATAGTTTAGAGCAAATTGCAGCTTATTTTTATTTTGTTTGCTCCTATATCAACCTAAAGAATGTTTATATTAATTGTTTAATACATATCAAGCATTTGTTAAACTTCTTGAACTCACCGACAGAGTGAATGTAGTTGAGGTTCCCGGAACAAGTTGTAGCAGTCTTCACAAATGCGATCCAGTCTAGCGAATATACTTTTGTCATATACCCCTTTGCACGAAAGGTCGAAGAAGGATCTCTTGTTGAGAGGGTGGCCCATGATAGAGCGAGACGTCGGGACAGCGACAAGGCACGAGAGAAGGGTGGAGGCAACCACGAGACCAGCCAGTGCCCTTCGCTCTTGATGCATCTGTAATTTAAAAAAAAAAAAATGCCTTGAAATTAATTAGAAAAATAAACTTAAACCTAATAGAATAGTTAGGTTATTTTAAAATTATAATAATATATGAAATCTAGAGACCGGATTTCCATGTTATGACATATTTTATTGGCTTGGGTGCAAAATTATGAGAAAATAACGCTTTGACTACTTAATAATAATTAGTGAAACACTACAGAAGCCAAAAAAAATGTTTGGAAAAGTATTAACAATTGTTAACACACATATAAGAGAATGCTCACTCAAACATTAACAGTTAGTTATATAGAAGGAATATGAAATCCTGCGTCATTTTCCGGAAAACCAAAAATTATATTATAAAAAAAATTAGCAGAATCTTACTTATTCTTTCTGTACATGAAAAAAATATTATAATTCATGATACAAATTATAAATTTAACTGAATTTTTTTAACAGGTTCAGTACAGTTGTACTGTAAAATTATATTCTTCATAAAAAATTTTAAATCTTAAAAGCAAATGGACGGGAAGCAAATTAATGGTTAGGTTAATTTTAAATTACGGGACTGTATGATTTACAATTATAACCCATTATTTTAACATAAATATGGTGAATTATTTTCTGCTCTTGGTGTAGTATGTTATAAAAGAATACAAATATTGGAAAATCTCATTGATTCTTTCTGCAAATATAAGGATAACTGAGTAATCTATATGAATACAAATTATAATCGTTACCCGAAAATAGAAAGTAAGTGAAACTTGCGTATCTATTCGAAGACCTTTTTTTTTTTTTAATTATTGATTTTTCGTTAATTCATTGTTAAATCTGAAATATATAAACAAGATGAATGTGTAGAATTAACAAAGATGGTGCAGAAAATTACCTATACTTTGAGGTGGAGAAGGTTGGTTCAGGCGACCGGAGATCTACAAGATCTGTAAAACCGACAGAAAAAAATAAAATATTTCTCCGATTTTTTTTTTCAATCGCGGCAGACGTGAACTGTAGCTTATTTTGGATCATGGTTTTTCAACATTTCTTCTGATCAGAAGAGGAGATTTGAACGAAAAACTGCATTAAGGTCGGTTATTTGTTAAATAACTCGTTCGGTCGAAAAGATACATCGAAAAAGAAGTTCGACTACAATGAACGATAGTTTTACATATTTTTAAGAAAATTTTACGTATTGTTCCTTATAATTTTACAAACAATTAGTACTGAACTTCTATCGGTGAAAGTGACATGAAAGGGTGGATTTCTTTTCATTGACCTTAATCCAATGACTAGCGAATGGAGGGAGTGCCCCTCCCCCGCAGGAGGTAAAATTTTGTCTTGAAAAAAGTTACTACAAATCCGGCGCTTTTATTATTATTAATTTAATTTAATTGAAGAGGAACTTTATTAAGCAATTTTGATTTATACTTTTTGCTCAAATTATAACCCGGCCGAGCTAAGGTGCTAGCAACAGATAATAAAATCTAACCAACGATGGGAGGCCGCCCCAATAATTACTATATCGTCAGCCACCATGTTGTCAATACAGTACTGTTATTAGTAGAATTAAGTGACCTAACAATCTTCAACAAAATAAACACTCACCTTTCAATAATTGTTGAATACTAAAGGGCACTAGCTGTAGCTTAACGTAAACTAAGCTCTTGAAGTTTTAAGAGGAAGGGAATTGACGATCCCTTATATTTATATAATAACTATATGTACATACACTGTCCGGATCGGTACTCGAATAGGAATAGGACACATACGACTAAAAAAAAAAAACATCTCCAAATGTTTCATCGGGTTGAGAAAAAAAAGTTGATTATAGTAAAAATGGGAATAAATAAAAACAATTAATACCATATAAAAATCAAGAGAATTTCACAATTTTTTAATGGATACAATCGACTGATAAGATGGGAATAAAAAGAAATGACGTAATTTATTTTAGGTAATAATATGAAAACAACAATCTACAGAGCCATTGAAAGGAAAAATTTGATAAAAACTGTGTTTATCTTATGACTCTTTTAAAACAGGGATAGCATGGTTAAACATAAAGCGAGCGAAGCGGCGAGTGTAGAAACTCTGAGATATGATATTTTAACTTTAAAATGTCCTTTTTATACCATTGCAATTCTCTATATCACATTCACTGGATGTATATTTATTTTTATACCGTTGTAAATTCCGTGAATAAAAAAAAAAAAAAAAAAAATACCTTGGCTTTTCGAATTAACCGAAAATATTAAAAAAACACTTCTATGAAATAATTGAAAACATATAGATGAATGTTCAATTTATAGCTTTATCAACATGACTACTAAACTGTTATTTACAGTTTAGGGTCCCAATTTGTCTCAATTTGCTCCACCTTCAAAAGAATTTGTTTGAAATTATCATGCCTAACAGAATTGAACAGGAGATTTCCAACAGAATCAAAAGACCAATGATGTATACTACTGTTCACTAGCGGATATAGGATTTAATTTTTGGGAAGGAGCTTCAATCCGTGAGCATTATATATATAACAATAATTATTTGGAAGAAAAAGAAAAACTGACAACTTCTCTGAAATGGTGTTTAAGTGATTCTTGAAGTCCTATTAAAGTTATTACACGAACAATGATGCTTTTAGAGATCATGTTTTTCATAAGACATGGTTATATTTTACCGTTTCCGGAGAGGCTTCAGCCTGAAAGCCCTCTACCCTCCCTCCCCCCCTCCCCCGGTAGATCTGCCTATACTACAGTTCATACTGTTTAATCATTGGCAAAAGCGTTAGACTTCATTGATCTTTTTGGCCTTTTGGGCCCAAATCTGACCGAGCTTAAACTCCTAATACGAAATCATGCGAAAATCACGCTTCTTAATAAAGGCCGATATTAATAATAAATGTTGACGCCCATACAAAAGAATAGTCCCTTAAAACGTAAACATAAAATTATATAACAGTTTGTTATAAAGAGGGTTAGTGTAAAGAAAACAAGAAATCATGCATTATTATCCGTATAATCCAATAAATACAGGTATGGGCTATCCATTTGATATGATAATTTACGATTCTAATGATATGATAATATTTCTATTTAAATTTGCGAGTTTCACTGTATTAAGAATTGTGGGAAAGGAGAGCCCACTTATCCCTAAGATTATCTAATTCATTTACTTATTCTTCCATTTTATGGGCTCAATGCCACTGGATAGCGGGTGAAGGAATCGTTACGGCGAAACAATCGTACAGTAAAGAAGTTGGTTCATTTATCAAGGTATAGCCGATGATCTCGATAAGGCTCAAACAATGGAAGCGGCTGAGGTGAAGGAGTTGTTAAGTCTCTTATTCGATTTTGCATCCAGATAAGGAGGATAAGAGGGAGAAGAATTATAATACTGGCAGCCAGTTCTCACAATGGAAGGACATTGCTATTGTTGCCTCTTGAAGAAACGTATTTCCCAGCATCGTGGCGCATTGTTGGCCTAACCGATCTGATAAGCGCCGTCTAGATATTAAATCCCGGGTTCGGGAATGGGAAGAAAGGAAACATCAGTCATAAAAAAAAACAAAAAGAAACATAGAAGTGGAAATTCACCTGCGAAATTAAGCCAAACAGCGAATATTATTAATTTTATACTCTAACTGCTTTCAGGTTTATTATTTTCCATAATATACTTTTTTAATTGATCGAATAAAAATAAAATACACATTTTCATCGTAGTTTATGGTAATTTATTTCGAATTTATGAATCATTGGTTAATACTATAAATATATAAAACTTTAGTTTATTTGTCGACCTACCCAATCCTTACAATCCAAAACCCTCCCTGTATCCTCATAGCTCTTAACTTTGTCAGACTATATGTTGCCGATTTAGCCTAATCCAGATAGTTATCCTACCATAATAAACTTCAGACCAATCCAAACCCACTAGTGTCTAACCTCGCATCCTCTTCGATTCCTGACAATCCTCCCAAGCGTTTGAAAAGAAAATGGTCTCTGAACCTTTAAATATAAAACTATAATTGGAGTGTTATTACAAAGTGTAGTTTTTCAACAATTCCCTACATGTCACAATAGAAATTCACATTTACTTGTTGTAGTTTTAGTAATACAGTTGTAAATTTCAATAAAACAAAATTGTTAATCACTTCCTGAAAAGGAATAGAACTTTTAATCCTCAGAGTTGAAACAACAAGACGGTTGATTATTCCTTTATGTCTACTTAAAAAAATACTTGGCCTTGAACTTTCAGATCATCGTGATTTTTATCCTAACATAAATACTGCAAGATAAGTCCGAAAAACTTGTGGCTTGGGATCCTACTAAACAAGCAATCGTTAGTGTAAATTTTTTTTTTACTCAATTTTTTTAATATTTGTAACGATATGAAATCTTAAAATTTATCTTTCTACAAACTTAAATATAATTCGAGGTACAGTAACGAAACTGTTTTACTTCATCTCTTGCCTGTAATATCATAATATGATAGAATTATTTTTATATGAAAAAAAATTAATTAATTGCCGGGGCATAAATACGAAATTTTATTACCACATGAATATTATAATTGTTCATTTCGAATATTTTATTTACCACATTTTTTACTAAAACTAATTTATAATACATATTATAATAACGTCATATCTTAGTAACTGGTTAGTTCCAGTTCATTTGCCTCTAGCTCTAACAGCACTGACCTCGTTGAGATAGGATAGATACTTTCAGAATTGGCCCACTTATCCTTCATATTTGAACTATTTGAGGTACGAAAAAGGTAGACTTATTAAGTTGAGTAATACTTTTCTCATGCCAGAGTGTCCTTCCATTTCCAAGCGAATTCGAAGTAATGATGAAAGTTATGTTACGGTATAGTAACAGTATGTTATCTTGGGCTAGGACGAAATATTTAATATAGTACATAAAATTCTTTAATTATTTCACAATTTTTTAAAAGAATAGGAACCAAAAGAATTAATTTCTTATTGAGAAACTCCGATTTGTACAAAAATC